GGGAATGGTGGAAGAAGGAATTCTTTTGATGTGGTTACTAGATTGATAACTAGTGAATCCAGTTTGCCAAAACCATATACACTTAATGACTACTTTATTTTATGTGTATATTATATGCAATAAAAATATTTTCATTTTTAGTTATTTATGTATATGTGTGTGTGCCTTGTGAGTTTCTGTGTACCATGTACATGCCAGAGCCCAGAGAGGCTAGAAGAAGGTGTTCTAGTTTGTTTCTCTCTAGTTTGTTTCTGACCAATACCAACTTGGAGAAGAAAGGGTTTATTCGGCTTACATCACCCATGTCACAGTTCATCAGGGAGCCCAAAGTAGGAACTCAGGGCAGGAACCTGGAGGCAGGAGCTGAAGCACAGGCCATGGAGGAACACTGTTTACTGGCTTGCTCCCCTGGCCCCTAATCAACCTGCTTATCAACAGGCCCACCTGCCCAGAGGTGGCACCACCCACAGTGGGCTGGGCCCTCCCACATCACTCAGTAATGAAGAAGATGCCCCACAGACATGGCCACAGGCCAGTCCAATGGAGGCAATTCACCAATTGAGGCTCCTTCTACCCAGGTATTTCAAGTTGATAACTAAAGCTATCCAGCACAATTACTTGACACACAAATAACATCACTATTAAACCACAACCTTTCCATTTCTTGTCCCCAAAATATGATGGTAATGATATCACAACATAAGACAGTGCAACCTTAAAAGTCCCACAGTCCTTAAAAAATCCAAACACTTAAAAGTCCATAGCTTTTTTACTATGGGCTCCTTTAAAATCCAAAACAAGTACTGTCTTATTTCAAAAGTGAAGAATTGGGCACACCTAAGGAAAACCTAAGTCCAGCAAAGTAGTTCAAGGCTGGACATCTGGGATTCACTCACAATCTTCTGGGCTCCAAAGGGTTTTGGCAGCTCCTCTTCTCTGACTCTGCTGTCCACAACACATACACCTTGACTTCACCACAGTGATGCTGGTCTCTTGTTACTTACAGCTGATTTTTCAGCCCTAGCTGACCAGCATCAATTGTCCCAGTAAAGCAAAGGTTTCATGTCAATGGTTCTGGTCTCTTCTTAATCACAGCTGATTCTTCAGCCACAGCCGACCAGAAACCACAGATTCTCAACTCAGAGTGTTCCACAGACAGCCCCTGATAGTCTCTGCTTCCCTTTGAAGCTTCACAAGCCAGGCCTCCATCATTTACAAATCTTTCAGTGTAACTGTTCCAAGTTCCACAGCAACAAATTCTTGAGCGCTTAATGGCTTTTCCAGCCCAAAGTTCCAAATACTTCCACAAGTCTCCAAAAAATACCAAGGTCAGGTCTCCCATAGCAATACCCCACTCTCTGGTACCAATTTCTGTTCTAGTTTGTTTCTCCTCCATTGCAATGACAAAATACACTGCCCAATAACAACTTGGGGAGAAAAGGATTTATTTTAGCTTACATCTCCCAAGTCACAGTTCATCAGGGAGCCCAAGGTAAGAACTCAGGACAGGAACCTGGAGGCAGGAGCTGAAGCACATACCATGGAGGAACAGTGCTTACTGGCTTGCTTCCCTTGCCCCTGCTCAACCTGCTTATACAACATAGACCTACCTGCCCACAGGTGGCACCACCAACAGTGGGTTGGGCTCTCCCACATCACTCAATAATGAAGAAGATGCCTCACAGACATGGCCACAGGCCAGTCCAGTGGAGGCAATTCACCAGTTGAGGCTCCCTCTACCTACTTGTGTCAAGTTGACAACTAAAGCTGTCCAGCACATGAAGTACTGGATTCCCTGAAATTGGAGTTACAGGTGGTTGTGAGCTGCCATGTAGGTGCTGGGAACGGAACTCACGACCTTGGCAAGAGCACCAGTGCTCTTAACTGCTGAGCAGTCTCTCCAGTCCCTCTCTAATAAGTTTTTTTAAAGGAATGGAGCAGAAAATTTCCTAAAACTGGAGACGTATGCAAGATAAGTTGAAGATCATTGTGTTTGCTGTGGTTTTCTAAGGTCTTACTAATTTTGGTAGTAGCTGAGAACTTACTACTTATATTTGGTTTGAAAATGATTTCTTTGCCCTTATTCAGGTAAAGTGAATGAGGGTGTCCTCCCTTCTAGCTGCCTCCTGTGGTGCTTTCCAAACTGTTAGAAAAGACTGCGGTGGTGCAACAGTTCACTTGAGCTCTGTTTTCAAACAGACACAATAGTTGTTTCTTAACTAAGATTGAGGCCCTGGAGAAGAGAAGGAAAGCCTTGAAAATAGACCAGGCTAAGGGTGAATTGAAGAGGTCAGCTCTGAGTGGTTAGTTTGATGCTGAAACTGTGGCAGATGTGGAAGAACTGACTGCCTGACCAGGGAGCTGTCACCTGTGATGACACCTGCCAGCGCATCAGCCCATTTCAGTCATCTTCCTCAGCTTCACGGCAGCAGAATACCTCAGTTCAGGCTCCAAAGCCTGTTTCTAATGGCAGATTTTGCCTGTATTAGAATTTGTAACACAGGAAAGTGCTAGGAGTTTAATCATTGATTCTTAAACTTTTACTTGGCTTTTCAAAATCTGTTATACCTCAGAACAGGTGTGATAGTAGATCTCAGGGGTCAGTGTGCACAAACTTGGTCTAAGATCTCATGTGAAAGTTGAAGGACTAGGAATTTTCCCCTAAAGTTGTCTGTGAATGTTTATTTCTTAGAGAGCCTTTTAAGTTTGAAGACTGCTGTGATAGATATTTACATACGTAGCCAAAATAAACTTGTGTGCTGGCCCCTCTGGCTTTACATATAAATAGTCAAGAAAAACTGCTAGGGGAAGGTTACTTTCAACCTGCTGCTTCTATGTTTTTGATGGAAAGATAAGCATCTTCATTGTTGATAATATAAATAATTTCAGCTACAAAAAATAGCAACACTGAAAGTTAAACTTGTTGAAGCATAAAATCCTTTTTTGTGTATTTGAATTTTGGAAATGTGATCTCTCAACTATGCCTATATAAATAATGGATTATGGAAGTCTGGTCTAAGAATTGTCATTTTAAAATAGCATGCTTATTCATAAGTATATAGTAATGTATAGCAATATTTTATAAAAAGTAGTATGTTTTGTGAATTGAGTATATTATAAACTAGCTTTATTATTGGATGTACTAATTACAAAGACTTCCACTGAGTAAACCTTACAAATTAATCTCAATTTTACCCTCTAGATAATTACAATAAACAAAATGCTATTACCAAACACCTGAGAGTCAGAAGTTGTATTTTTTGTTGTTCTAAATTAGCCTGTGTTTGCCTCTTACACATCAATAGAAAAACCAACTTCATTCTGTAGCAATAGGATAGCCTGGTTTTCTGTTGTATAATTCCTTCCACCTTTGGGTTTCTGAGTTTCACCCCCCAGACCATATCTGACATATATATTTAGTGGTGGGTGGGTTGGTTGTTTGAGACTAGGTTTCACTATGTAGCCCTCACTGGCCTGCATGCAACTCACTGTGTAGAACGGTCTGGCCTTGAACTCACAGAGATCCATCCACCTCCCTCTGTCCCCCAAGTGCTGGGATTAAAGGCATGGGCCACTATGCCCAGTTCAGTGGTGGTTTTTAACCAAAGGTTTTTTGTTGTTTTTTTTTCCTTAGTAGTGTTAAGATCCCAAGTTTAAATTAAATGTTACTGAAGTGAAACCATTTAAATAGTATTTTTTAACTTAACCTTTTTTTTTTTTTTTTTTTAATGGGAAAACTAGTTTCTTGTGTAGGACACAAGCACTAGAACTTTCCTTCTCTGAATCTAGGTAGGCTTTGAACTTGAGATCCCCTGCTTTAGCCTTCTAAGGAGCAGGAATTACAGGCCTGAGCCACTCGAACTTTGTTTCTCAACATGTGCTTTTGAGCCTCCTCATGAGCATAGAGTTGCTGATTAAAATGCATGTTCCTAGGACTGCTGCCATGTAGTTGATGGAGCATCCTGGCTGAGTCTGAAGCTCAGTACAATGTGAGTCCTGCTGCCATGAGCAGCATCACTTAATGAATGGTCTATAACAGAAACAAGGTCCTTGGGTCCTTCAGTCAGAATGACTGTAAATAATAAACTGAGAAACAAACCGCTGAACCAAGAGAAGATGGATCCCATTCTTTCACTTCTATTAAACAGCCAAATTCGTACTTAATTATCTTTGGTTACCAGGAAGCTTAATCCTTGTTTTCCTTTGAAATGCCCAATAGGTTTATTTTAATGACTACAAACCACATAAAGAAAACTTATAAATTGTGTTGACTTGTATTCCTATAGGAGAGCAAGTATCCCATTAACTGCCATAACATGTTTAGTCATTTCTAAATATAAATTTCCAGTGATATGTTAAAATAACAAATACAATATTTTAGGTCAGTTCAATAAAATGGAGCCAGTGCCACCTCCAGTTTCACCAATGAAGTGATTCAAAATGAATTTACCAGCTCTCATGGGGCCCTCACATATGACAGAGGACAAACAGTACATTTCTGCCCCATGTTTTTCCTGAAGCAAAAAGACCACTGTAAGCCCACCCCTACTACAAACCTTCACTCACTAAGCTGTGTGCCAGTGACACAAGACGTTCACTTTCAGGGCCAGGGAGATGGCTCAGGATAAAAGTGCTTGCCACACAAGCCTCATGACCTCAGTTCAATCCCTGGCACCCATGTAAAGGTGGAAGGACCTGTGCCTACACACACACACACACACACACACACACACACACACGCACGCACGCACGCACGCACGCTGATAATAAAGTTTAAATTTTTCATTGTCCTGATCCATGCTCTTGTCTACTACATTTATGAAGCTGAACTTGGCTTTGATAGTGTGACAAGTTTGTCAATACCATTTGTCAGTGCTCTCCGCAAAATCCATCCTTCTTTCCCTTTTCATTAGAAAAGGAAACTTTATTTCAGAGAAGAAAGTGCATTGTCTGAACTTATCAACACCCTCTCTATCCTTCCCCTCCCCCATTTGTTGCAGACCAGGATGAAAGAGCAGCTGAGCTAAGCAGGGAGCAGAACGAGAAAACCATCCGGAGCACGCAGACTGCGCTCCGCAATTTCCGAGAGTTCCTCATCTCCAAGTACCCTTCCGAAACCAGAGAGATTTATGTCATCCCTTGCAAGGAGTTAGATGCCTACCTGGCCTCTTTCTTCGTGGATGCCAGGCAGAAGGATGGGTCTGAATATGAACCCAACAGCTTGGCCAATTATCAGTGTGGGCTGGAACGGTACCTGAAAGAGCACAGGTATGGCTACAGTATCACCAGGGACAAGGAGTTCAAGCGTTCCCAGGAGGCCCTGAAACAGAAGCAGATTGAGCTCCGCTGCAAAGGAAAAGGAAATAAGCCACACAAGTCCATGAAGCTCACCTTTGCCGATGAGCTCATCTTGAGAAAGAGAGGACTTCTGAGCAGGTATAACCCGGAGGGCCTGCTCAACCTCGTCTGGCTCAACAATACAAAAGCTTTTGGGCACTGCACAGGCTTTCATGGATCTACCTTAAAATGGGGTGATATCCGGCTCCGGGTCACAGAAACCGGTCTAGAGTACTTAGAGTGGATGGGTCAGGACACCGGTGATCTGAACGCCAAAACCAAGAGAGGGGGGACAGACTCTCGAGTTTATGCCACACAGCATGCCCCACAGACCTGCCCAGTGCAGGACTACAAGGAGTATGCCCAGAGGAGGCCCCCTGCCATGCGCTATGAGGATGCCCCCTTCTACTTGTCCATCAAGCCAGTCGTGAACTTGGCGGCTCTTCACTGGTACAATTGCCAGGCCCTTGGCAAGAATAAGCTGGCCAAGATGGTGAAGACCATGTGCGAGAAGGGCAACATCCCTGGCAGGAAAACCAACTTCAGTGTCTACCAGAGCTGCAGCACCTTGTCTGAGGCCCAGAGCAACCAGCTGGTGCTTATCTGTAACAACCTGAGCCAGCAGGCTGCCCAGTCAGTGGCCGGCCACTCCAACAGTGGCAATTTCATTGTCTCCTCCTATGACTCTTCCTCAGACACAGCCTGACCAGGTGGCTCGTGCAAGATGTCACTGTGGTTTCTGTGTCCCGAGAAACCACTTATACACTGCTTCTCATTGCTTTTCATCCACCCCCAGTGTTAACTTTATAAAATACAAATATATATTTTTCTTTTACAAATAAGCCAATGGCAATAGTTTAGTATTACTAACAGTATTTATAGGCTTGAGACAAATAAATGTACTTGTGGGTGATTACATGTAATTGCTGTTACAGACTTGACAAAACCATAGTGGTTCTCAGGCAACAGTAGAGAAAGAGCTCCGTTGTTTGTTTTTGTTTTTGTTTTTTTTTTTAAAAAAAATGTCAGGAAACCGAGAGTCATTCAAGACGCTGTGTCCTCAGCTCCCACTTCTTCCCGCCTTACCTTACCTCTTATTTTGGTCTCCTTCATAGATGACTTTATTTTTTAATTTTTAAAAATTCTATATGCAGAAGGAGACAACAAACCAACTTTACTGCTCGCAGAGAACGGGATTCAGCCAGATCAGATCATGAAAAGTGGACAAATAAGTTCAACATCAGGCTTTTTTTTTTTTTAGCTTAGAGTTTTAGTTCCTGTGCCTCATTTTCTGCTATATATGAAAATCCAGATGCTTAGTGAACCTTTCATTTTGGGGGAAAGGGAAGGAATAAAGGCGCCATTCTTTTTTTGTAAGCTGTCTCATTTTTAAAATAATATGTAAGTTCTGATATTGTGGCAAAAAACAAAACACTGTTACATAGCTCATTTTTACTGGTGTTCTTGGACCTGGATAAATTGTCTTTGTCCCTAACTCAGTGCAAATGATTTTGATTATCAGATTTACCAGAAATTTAAACTATCAAATTTTTAAAAATATTCCTAGGTATTCAGTTGAATATCAGGCAGAAAAGGTAGAGAGTAGAGATCTACTAAAACCCTAACCATAGAGAGAGACAACAGAAAAGCTCAGATACCCTGTTCCTTATAAGCATTAAACTTCTCTTCCCTAGGGGGTTATTTGACTCTGCACTTAAGATCAAAGGAACGTTGATACCCATTTTAAGTAACAATATTTTGTTAGCAGGCTTGGCTGAATTCAAAGCTGCCTTGAGTCTCTTCTACAGTAAATATAAACACGTTTATCTATGATACCCCGCAGTTGGAATAATTTTGGTTAAACATTTGTGGTGTTTTTTTCCAAGGTTTGTTTTCAAGTCTTGAAGACCGTGGCAGATTATTAGGAAAGATATGTCTAAAATCAAGTACATTTAGACATTAGAGCCACAAGAAAGCTAAATTCAATTTCTATCCTGTAAATCACGAATGCAAGGTCCTAATCTTGATTGGTTTGTTGTATCTGAGCACTCTGTTGGGGGGTGTTTGTTCTTCAAGTCAACCTCATTTCACATTAGCTTGGAAGTTAGATGATATTTTATATAGTTATAAGGCCAGATATTTTTATTTGTCAAAATTGTCTCAGAGCTGAGCTTACCCATGGCTAGGTGGCACTCTCCGTCACCAGGTCATAAGTGCATTGGGGCTCTTCTTGAAAGCCAGGGCCCTTGGTTTGGTGTAGAAATGGGAAGTGTACCTAGGCATGGTTTGGTGGAATTGACTTCATTCTCATGACCTGTCCTTCAGAGAGAAGCATCCATTGCTTATACACCCAAAAACAAGAAAAGGAGATAGTATATTTCTGTGCACATTATCTTAATTCTCTCAACACCTTAAAACGAAAGTGAGTTCTGTCTGTTTTTATGAGATCGTGAGTCAGATGAGGAAGGAAGCAACAGTCTGTCCTCTCACTCCCAAGCTTTCTCTTCACTTTCTTCAGTACTAATAGTGGCCAGTTTGGTGTGATTTGAGCTAGAAATGGGAAGAGTGTCTTTCCATCTCTGAAGACTGTCAGGTTAAAAGGAATCGTTCATGGTGCACACTATGTCTAACCCATCTTCCCATTGCATTCGTTTAAAAACAACAATGCCACTTTCCCAGTTCTGTGAACCTTCCTGTTCCCTTCTTCTAAAGATGATCCAAGAGTGCACAAGACAAACCTACTGTAAGGGAACGTTTTTTGGCTATTTTTATGTTGCATACCTCTCATTTTTAAGGTTTCTATAAAATACTTAAAGTGTGACTGTGCACTTTATTTTTAAAATTGACATAGTTTAAATTTTTTGATACGTGTTGACAGCAGAGAAATCTGCCTTGAGAAAGGTCTGTCATTTTGCACTGAGAAGGCAGAACTCAGCAGTTTTTGAGTCCCTATTTATGTCTGTTGAGGTACTGAAAGGAAAAAAATCTGTCCTACTTAGTCTTAAGTACTGCATGGTCATTAGACAGTTATGTTAGGAATGTGAATTTTTTTTATTTGTTTTGCAGTGATAACTCAAACCAAATAGGAATATTGTGACATTTAGATTTTTTTTAAAAAAATGGCTTACTAGAGGCATAGCCAGTTTAATATCTCTTTGACTTCACTGAATTATCTAAATCTGTGACTATCTCTAAATTTTGTATGTCTATCTAAACAATACTGGGGACATAACCATTGCCAAATGCCGTTATTATTATTTGGAATTTTAACTTAATATTATTTCACTCTGTGGCAGAGGTACATGCCAGAATTTATTATCATGGTTACTAGGACTAATCTGAATGTTTCATATATATGTCAACTATTAAAATATTTCATAATTTTTCCTATCTTAAAATTTCCCTATATTAATTCATTTTCCCTATGTTATTATGTTGCATTTTGTTTTGTTTTATATAAGATCTCACATAGCCCTGGCTGGCCTTGAAGCCCTGATCCTCATCCCTCCACCTTCTAAGTGCTGGGTTTACAGGAATACACAACCTTTACACAGCTCATTTTCCCTAAGTTAAATTATTACCTGATCTACAACAGCCTGAAATTTTTCTGGCATAGATCAGATCTACTTTGTCTTTCAGTTAGGTTGTTAGTGGAAACCTTGTTAGCATTAACTTATCTAAGTCATGGCTTAACTTCAGGTATCATGAAATCAGTGACTTCATTGAGATGAAAATTTATAGTCACATAGTCAAATATTTATTTAATCTTAGTCATTGGGACAGCTACAAGGATGTCGAAAATATTTCCTGCTCTTGGGCGGGATGTGGTGGGGGCGCACACCTTTAATCCCAGCACTGGGAGGCAGAGGCAGGTGGATCTCTGTGAGTTCAAGGCCAGCCTGGTCTAGATAGCAAGTTCCAGGCCAGCTGTGGCTACAGGGAGAGCTTGTCTCCATAAGACCAAAAAATTCCTGCTTGCAAAGCAAAAGTAAAGACACTATAATAAAAGGTTCTGTTTTGAGAGCCCAGCAAAAATAAAATAAAATAAAATAACAAAACCTATGCCAATACTATTCTACATTGTCTTCCAGACTTTGTGCTTCTGCAATTATTTATTCATTGAGTATGTTGGTTTGCTGCAGGATATATGATGCTTCTTTGAATCTTTTATGGAGATGAATTAGAGCTTGTTTTAAAGTCAAAACTAAGATAAAGCCATTTCTCTGCTATCCCTTGTGTTCGAACAGGATCTATTGTCAATAAGTGTTATCTGTTGAGTATGTACAATGTGCCTCTTTACCAAGTACCTTTGTAAGTTGTCTTTATTCTCTCCATAGTCTTTTTTAGTAAGTGTTACTCCTTTTTTTTAAGTGAAGAAATCAGAGAAATCAAAAGCATTGTCCAGGTCCCAGTTTAAACGAGTAAAAGCATTAAGCTCTGCCCTTCACTGCTGTTCCGGGCTGGCTTGCTTATGCTTCTACTTCTGTAGCAGCCCCTAAAATGAGGTGATAAGCTGAAACTGAAATCCCTGGCAAAAAAAAATATTTTGAAAAAGGGTCTTTCACTGGGACCTGGGCCTCAACTAGCCTGGCTGGCCAGTGAGCCCCAGGGCTCTGTCTGCACCTCCCTAACACACAAAACCACATCCAGCTTCAGAGCAGAATTTTGTGTCATTGTTTATAACGTTTTCTAAATTGAACCTTGGACTTCCCACATGCTAAGTAAGCACTTTGACACCCAGCTATAC